GGGTGCCTTTAGGGAGCTTGGGCTGGGAACAGTAGAGAGATCTTCATCCTCTTCTCATCTATGATAGCTCCTGGGTTATCCTGTGCAGGAAGAGGTGATGAAGTGCTTGCAATGTTCCCATGGATGTAAAAATGAATTTTGTGGGGCTAGAGAGATTGCTCAGTGGTTAAGGGCACTTGCTGCCCTTGCAGAGGACCTGAGTTCCGAACACCCACATTGTGGCTCACAACCATCCCTAACTCCAGTTCCAGGGGATCTGATACTGTCTTTTGACCTCTGGGGACATCAGGCACACATGTGACATATATGTAGCCAAAACACTCATATATACAAAATAAAATAAATATTTTTTTAAATGAATTTTGTTTTGCTTTCTGGGTGGATCTTCTCCGTGACTGGTTGTTGAACAGCTAGCTGACAGTGGATGGCTACTTAGGGTAGTGCCAAAAAGCTTGGGAAAGAGTCAGGAAGGGGGGCCCAGCTTCTCTGACCCACAAGCACCCCTGGGCCAGTTGGAAGCCACTGACTGTACCTTAGTCGTAACGTTGGGGGCCGGGACAGTGAGGAGACCCGTCAAGTTCCAAGCTCAGGCTCTTTGTCCACCTCTCAGAATCCTAACTGCAACCTCTAACCTGGCGATGGCATTTGGCTAGCCCAGTGAAGAGACAAGCATGTAGCTTCTGCCCGTGTCCTCCTCTCCCGTCTGCTTGTCCACTGATCCATTGCATGTTCCAAGACAGGGTCTGGAACAGTGCTGGTGTTCAAAGGTGCTGAGTTCCCAGTTGTTGCAGCACAATGCCCATCATTAAGGACTCCAAAGTCCTCCAGGAGAATTAATTAATAATCTAATCATTTTGGGCTGGAGTCAAAACAGCTTTTTACTCTGCATTTGGGCAGGAGACCAGGTTAGTTTGGGTGATGAGAGGCCAAAAGCCTGTTTGGGGCTGTGGTAGGGTGGGCTCATTGCTAAAATTCCTTCCCTAAGAGAGACGTAAACCAGTGTCTACCACTTCTTCTCAAGTCCCGAAGACAAACTGAGGCATGATTCCACCAAAGTTCACTCTGGGGGAACCAATGAGTTTATTGGATTTTCTTACAGAGCCTAACAGGAGAGTTACTTACAGGGCTGTGAGCACTCCTCCCCAGTGGGCTCTACCTGAGAATGCCTTCCTCAGGAGGGATGAGCAATTCCCTGTAGCTGCATGCATGGAGCGCTGCTCTAGTTTCCCAGATCTCTTTATGTCCCATTTCCTATCCCCAGGCAATGTGTGGCTATGGCAGGTGGTAGAGAGGGGCTGGATGCTCTTCCCCCTGTGCCAGGTGGGAGTGAAGTATAAATGTTAACAAGTCCATCTGGGAGGAAGTTTTACAAGGTGGGGTACAGTGAACTCCCCAAGATGGTGCTTGCTTGGGTCAGAGGACAATTAGCCCAGCAGCTGACTTCTGAAGTGTTTTGGCATACGCTGAGCATTTCAGGCAGGGGAGGTGTTACAGTGAAGACCAAGAGACCTCTAGGAAAATTTTGTGTAACTGCTCAGCCTATGGAATAGTTAAGATAAAGCATTTTATCATTAAATAACTGTATCACTAAATTGTCTGCGGATCCACAGGTTATATTTTCTATGAATACCAAAGGGGAATTGTTGACTTTTTTATTTATAAAGGGGGATGAAGGGCCAGGCATGACGGTGTTCGCCTTTATGGCAGCACCCCTTGAGACAGAGGCAGGCAGATTTCTAGGAGGCTGCTTCTTGGCTGCACATATGGTAAGCTCTCTGGAGCCCTTTTCAGATCAATGAACTGATTATCAGTCCATCCCTACCCCTTCCTGGGCCCCTCCCCAGGTTGCACTGGAATAGTCATCCCTCAAGGTTGGAGTTGAAGAAAAATGAATAACTAGAACACATGCAACAAACATTATTTAAAGATTTCCATAGAATTCATGTTTTAAACTTGTTCAAACTCCTTTGAAACAAATGTTTTTGTCCCCCCCCCCAAAAAATATGGGATTATCAATGCTAACTTTGCACTACTTCCTTCCAAATCATTACACCCAGACTGGTTATTAAAAACGCTGCCAGAAGCCGTCTCTACCTTTGGCTCAGTTGGCCAGAGAGCCTAAGTGTGTGTGTAATGTGTGGAAGGTTCTTAAGGTTCTGGGAGCTGATCCCACTACTGTGTGGACAACACAGGCTCCATGTTTCTTTGTGACCATGGCACCTCTCCATCCAGCAAGCTCAAGAGAGTTAGAGTCCTGACTTTATCAATACCCTTTAGAAGCCTGGTAAGGACTCATGTCACACAAACTAAATTACATTGTCTGAAACTTGGAAGTGTCAGATTCCATGGCTTGCCCCCCCCCCCTTCTGCTTTTTGTGTATGGTGTGGGGTGCATGAATGTGTGTGTGAGCTCAGGACTGAAGTCTGGAGTCTTCCCCAATAGCTTTTCATATTATCCCCAGAGGCAGTCTTTCCATTGAATACAGAGCTCACTGATATGGCTCCATCTTTTGTCTTCCAAATGCTGGAATTACAGGAGGGGCAGTCACGCCCACCTGGCATCTCTGTGGGTTCTGACTTGAACTCTGGTCCTCACACTTGTGCAGATGCTGTTCCCATGACTGCTTCTTGCTGCACTCCCTGCCTTCACCTACATGCTCTTCCTTCGCCTTGACTGTACCAGCTCCTCTAGACCAAGTGGCTCCTGACAGCTGACACATGTCGGATTCATGTTTCTTATTCAAACTGGACTTCCAGCAGCACCTAGTCCAGGAACCAAGCCCTGCAAATAGTGAAAAGCCCACAAGTCCCTGATCTTGTCTTGTTCATTTTAGAGAAAGCTCTCCAGTTTATTCAGATTCTGTTGGATTTAGTTTTTCACACGATTCCAAAGAAACCAGTGACCTCAGCTCCCACCTAGGTGACTGTGTGTACATGTGTGCTGTCCTGTGTGTGTGTAGGCCAGAGAATGACATCAGGTGTCTTTCTCAATCACTGTTCACTTCAACTTCTTACAGCAGTTGCATGCATTTATTTGTGTCTGTGGATTTGACACCTGTGGTGGTCAGGGGATAATTTGGAGGAGTTGGTTTTCTTTCCACCATGAGGGTACAGGGGATTAAACTTCAGGTTATCAAGCTCGACAGCAGATGTTTTACCCACTGAACCATCTGGCTGATTCTCCACATTACTTTTTGAGACAGGGTCTCTCACTGAACCTCATCAATATGCTAGGCTGGCTGGTTCTAGAGATCTCTCTGTCCCCCACTGTCCCCACTCAGTGCTAGGGATGCAGCTGCCATAGGCTTTTGCTGGATGGTGGGGCTCTGAATTCAAGCCCTGTTGTTTGTGGTAGACACCTTACCAGCTGGGTCATCTCCCCCAGAAAATCCACTCCCCATGTCTTGACAGATGAAAAGTAGAGGATGAGCAGACTACTCTAGTTGATAGCCTAGCCTGGTCTTGAGCTATGGAGCTTGGGATGACATTAACCTTCTGATCCTCCTGCATGTATCTCCCGAGTGTGTCAATTAAATGTACCTGCTTTATGTGGTGTGGTGCTGGGGATGGAACTCAGGCCTCTGTGTGTGTGTGTGTGTGTGTGTGTGTGTGTGTGTGTGTGTAAAGTAAGTGTTCTATAAAGTAAGCTGCATCTACAACCTAACTCTGTTAATGACTGGCAGCAACATGAATGACCCAAGAACCTACAACCCAGAATAATTTATCAGGGAGGGAGTGGAGTAAAGAAAAACTTTTTAAGAAAAACAACAGAACAAAGGAGGCTTTTACTATGTAGCTCAGGTTGGTCCCTTTGGATTCATGAATCTTTCCACCTCTGTCTTCCTGAGACAGGTTTCATTCATATAGTCCAGGCTGATCTTGAATTTGCCATGTAGACAAAGATGGCCTAGAACTCATGCTCCACCTGCCAAGTGCTGGGACACAGGTGTGAGCCACCAGGCCTGCAGAGTTCTGGACAAGACTTCAGTCAGACACAAACATTTTCTTCTGTTCAGCGGTTGTCTTCATTCTCTTGCTATTGTGCCTCAATGTATAAAATACACTTAAGGATATATTATTCTTCAACAACTCCCAAGCAGGCCAGTTGTAGCTGGCATGATTAGGAAGTGCCATCTGCTCTAACCTCTATAAAGAAGAGTAACTGTGAATTAAAGTAGTTTGCTTTCATTTTTTTGCTATAAAACCAACTTCCTAGTAAGTGGGAGTATGGGCCAACCCCTACATTTAGCACAACACAGCTAGCCCTGGATTGAACTAAAAACAAAACTAAACTGAAAGAAACAAAACAAACAAACAAACAAACAAAAACTAGTTACTAAACCCTTTCCTGTATAGATGCACGTCTTTGCCTGTGTGGTGTGTGCACGTGTATGTATGCCTGTGTGGTGTATGCATGTATGTCTGTGGTGTGTGTACATGTATGTATGCCTGTGTGGTGTGTGCATGTATGTGTATGTATGCCTGTGTGGTGTGTGCAGGTGTATGCATGCCTGTGGGCACATGTGGAAGCCAGAGGTTGACATCATATGTCTTTCTAGAACACATTTCTACTTTAATCTTTTGAGACAGGGTCTTTCACTGAACTTGGGAGCTATTTAAACCAGTTAGCCAGTGAGTTCCCAGAATCCAGCTGTCCCTGCCTCACCAATACTGGGGTACCGAGGCATGCCTTCATACTGGCAACAAACAAAACAAAACCAGTTGTTGAGGGTCTGAACTCAAGTCTTTATGGCCGTGCAGCAAGCACTTAACCCACAGAGCCCAGCCCACATGTACACACATGTCTTCTAATGGCTGGTTTTCTGGAGAAACATAAGCTAAAAACAGGTATATATATATGGCTTGTTTTGATTTTGGCTGGTTTTGTTCCCTGTCCTTATGCCATCAGTACAGGCTCTGCCAAGGTACAATTCATTTGACAGTTCCCATTTATACAAATGAAATAAAAACACAAGTAGAATTTTTAGTAGGTGCTAAAACTTGGTTTTGAAATTTTATTAAAAAAATATATTTGCAAACATATAAAATTTAGGATGAAAAATGCTCATTTTAAAACATGTAATAACTTAATATTTGCAAACATACACAGATGGTATAAAATCCACTAAAAAGGTTAATGAGGTGGCATTGCGCTCATGGAACAAAAGGTCATGGTGGCGCAGGGCTTCTCATTTCCACGAAGGAGCCGAGAACCTGATACAGTGAAAGTTATGACAGCCACATGGCCAAAGCCATACGAGGAAAGACCACTCACAGTACGAACACTAACACGCTTCTTAGGGATTCCAGATAAAAGGGAAACACAACTTTGCATTTTTCCCACTTCAAAGTGATCGATATTGCAATGCAGCATTTTAAAGAATGATGCCAAATCTGAATCATGTGAAACATTGCACATCTCTCCTGCTGAAACTTGAAGAAAAACACCAAAACAAAATAATCCCAACCTAAACCCCAGCAGGCTCCTTGATGCCCTGGCTGCTTGTGGAAACCTCTCAAAAGTGTGGCCTTTGAAGTCCACTGGACGGTGTTCCACTCAGTCCCGAGGGCTTTGGGTTCCTGAAAACAGGGCACTGTTAGTTCTAGAAGGTACTCTGAACACACCTGAAGGAAACCAAAGGCAGGCAAGAAGAAACACATGGCCCACAGTATATGTGCCAAAGACACAGGACTCAGGCCATGACCCCTCAGTCCTTGCCATCCACAGGGTTCTGCTGTGTCTGTGCCCTTCTCTTCCTTCCAGGTTAAAGTGTGATGGCTAACTCTGCTTTGTAAGCAGTTAGGCACCTTCAGTTTCATGTTGCATTGATAGTATTACAATGGCAGTTATGGCCTCTACTGCCGAAATGAGAAAACTTCAAACAACATTCTTTGGGGGAAGGGAGCAATAAAGCTGCATGGTTTCAAAAGACTACTTACTAGTGGATTCAATGGCGTTTATAATTCCCACAAGAAGATTCAGGCCACAAATAGAACCAATGCTTGCACATGCAAAATCTGGTCATTGGCATCTAACCCAAGCCTGGGCCAAGGCCTTGAATGAAACACCACTGTCCAGGGCAAACTGTGGACAATACATATGGAGACTTCAGGGGATGTCTCTCCTGATTCTGATGCTCACTTGAAATTTACAACTCAAAGTCAAGTAGATCAAGTGGCAAACCTCATGGGGCCCAGGAGAGGCATACTGGGAACAAGGCCGTTGGGGGGAGGGGGATGAGGTCAGCTGGGGTGTGCATCCATTTGAAGATATAACATTAACTACAATGAAAAGAGCAGTGTCACTCATTGGTGACACCCCAGACACGCTGTATTCCAAACGCTGGGCTGCTAATCCCAGACCCTTTGACCATAGGAGTGAGGGGATGGGATGTATACACAGATGGACAGAGTGGCCTAAATGCAGTCTCCTGGGCTCTGTCAACCTAGCAAGAAGCATCTCCAGTGTCCCTTTCAGGTCAGCTGAGGTTCCAGCAAAGACACTGTAAACATGCAAGTCATGCTAGCAGAGGGTGTCGATCGTATGCCTGAATGAGGAATAAGGCAATGGAGGCCAGGCTCATCCAACTGCAACTGTCCAGGCTTGGCCTGGCTCTCTGGGGACTTCCTAGTAATCATGATCTAGAACTTCTGGCTTCTGAATTTTAAGTAAATGCTTGGGATATATAAATCTGGGAGTTGAAATAGGTTTGCCCTTTTCACGTCTCCGTCACTTCGGCACTTAGAAGTTTATGTTTACACTGAGGAAGCCTTCTAGGAGATTCTACTTCACTGTCTGTCATAGTCATCCCTAGGATTAAGGGTAAAAAGTAACAGATGTGACTGCAGATGTTCTTTAGGGTACCAATTCTTCACCCTCTCATAACATTACACACACTCAGAAGCATCAGCAAAATTCAATAGCTACTGGAAGAAGAGTGCTTTGATTCCTCTGTTTCCTGATATCCACTGAGACCACACCCCGGTATGATCAAACCTACAGGAGTGTTCATGTTATGAGAACAGCCCTGTGGTTCCTTGACCACCACCTCCTACTGTCAGCAACACATTATCTCACTACAACTTTATCTTCCTTAGATGTGCATGAACAATTAATTTTTGGTTGCTAAATTTACACACTATCATGAAAACAAACTACCCCTAGCTGAGTATGAAACGTCTAGGCTTCCCTGAATTCTGCACACTTCACACATAACTAGGTAGACAATAAGAGAAGACACTGAACTGAGAAGCAGAAACATTGTCCAGGAAGCATGTTGAGATCAGCATGAGCCAACCCAAGTATTCTTTAGGCTAAAAAACTAAGACCAAACTAAAATAAGTAATTAATAAGTAATTATCTAAAATTTCAGCTAGAAAGAAATCGATGAGCCTTTGATTGAGTTCCCATTAAAGCTTAAGCGACTATTCCTGTGGGACTGTCGCGTCTGTCAGCATTATTCACAGCGAATCCTTATGCTAGCTGGTTGAGCCAACTGGGTTCTTACCCATCATTAAATAGTGCTCAGAAAAGTAAGCAGTGCATCTTAATTGGTTAAATACTACAAAATGACCTGTATCATAGAAACAAAGACACTTCTCATTCAAAGAATATCTCAAAATTACTATTGCTGAAATCATCAAATTCTACATTAAAATATTACTAAACACCATTACATGCCATAAAAGAATAAATAGAAACCATGGCAGATCAATAGCAGCATCACAAAGCGTCTTTACAGTTTCACACCAAGGCTGGAAGAACTCAGCCTAGGAATATACTGGTGAGGTTCTGCGTCTCACACTTGCTCTTTGACTCCATATTCTACAACAAAGGAAGGGCAGTGTGAGTACAGCTCCCTTTTCTGCATAGCTTTAAAACTGCTCTCAGCACATTTGAGGAATGGAACCAGAATGGCTTTGTCAGATTGGTCCACTGGTCCTTTTGTCAAAGTGTTAAGGAAAACAATCAACAATAACTTCAACTGTTTAGACAGAAAAGGAAAATAAGGCTGTGCTTCACACACCAACTTGACACTTCCAAACCACTGGAGAGTTCACTAGAAGTGGAGCTTTCTGGTAGGATCTGGATCCGTGCAACCCAGCCTCTGCTTCAAAGGTTTCAAGCCTCCTCCATCAGAGCCCAGCCGGGCCCTACCCAAACAAACAGCCATGCTTCACTGGAGTTTGTACATGGCAGGACCAGGGACACTGAACGAAACACAAAGAAATCCCAGAAGTTTTAAGGCCCAAGCGGGGTGCTCATAGAAAACATACTTCACTTGAGAACAGATACCTTCTAAAGAATCAACTTAAGCTCTGATCCTTAAAACTTGAAGGTACTTTGTGGAGCTGACATTCGTTCAGAGCTTGTAGGGCCAGAAGTGGAGGGAGGGCACCGGCTCCACTGAGTGTGGCTGCAAGGCTGGTGGCTCCTCCCGAGGCCTGGAAAGCAAGCTGACAATCAGGCTCCTCATTCCACACACACCCACGGAACTCAACACAATGGTCTTTTTTGTTGTTTTGTCAAACAAAGGTCTGCTGGTGATGCTTCACAGTGAAACCTCCATCATCACTGAGAATGTCTCTAGAAAACATCTTTAAGGAACAAGGCTCTCTCAAAGGCTCAAACTCAGGCTTCCCAAAGCTCCAGGTTCTATTCAGATGTGCAGGAGGAAGCCTGCTTGATTCTGAAGTGCACCCTCTACCTTCACACCGACTTTATTCCAGTCATAGGTTGTGGTTGTCTTTGTTCTTGGTCAAAACCTGCAAGTAGACTTCATGAAGTGTACTGAGGAAGTTAGAGTCATTCTGGAAGAGACGGGAAAGGTGGAAACGCAGTGTCATTTGCCTCTTCAGAACTTATTTCATCGGTAACAACTTAGGAAGACACAAAAATGATTGGTATAAACCGGGCATTGGTGGCACACGCCTTTAATCCCAACACTCAGGAGGCAGAGGCAGGCGGATCTCTGTGAGTTTGAGGCCAGCCTCGTCTCCAGAGTGAGTGCCAGGATAGGCTCCAAAGCTACACAAAGAAACCGTGTCTCGAAAAACCAAAAAAGATTGGTGTAATTAATTCCCCCAAACCTCATCCCAGAGACAGTCACAGTGACAATCTTGGAGTTTACAGTCATCATTCCGCCACAAGGGTATACCTGGGAAGAGAGATGTTTCTCCCAGGAAGTCTTCTGACTTTTTATTGATATTCAAAATGAAAAGCTGATACCTTACATACCTTTATTAGATGTATCAGTGTGTCCTGGAGCTGAGACTTGCTGAGAATGATGGAAGGTTTCCTCTGATTTTCAGGTGTTCCAACAGTGAGGGGAGAAGGAGAGCTTGTCTTCCTCTCTAGGTCTGTGGACCTGGGAACTGTTTGCTGGAACACACTGGGGGACAGCAGGATAGAAGATACTGCTGTGGTTGTTGCAGTCACCAATGGAGGGCCTGCAATCTGCGGGGAGAAAAAACAGAATAATGGTCACTTCACACTGCAGTACAGAAGCAAGCACCCAGGCCCACAGAAGGGACACACAATGAGAGCCATTAGCATGAGACTGCAGCACAGGGCAGTTAAACACTAAACTCTATCCTCTCTTCTCTCTTTTAGAGAGGGCCCAATTATGCAGCCCTTGCTGGCTTGGAACTCACTATGTAGACTAGGCTGGACCAGAATTCCATCTCCCAAGCACAGTATTAAAGGGCACCACTACTCCTGGTTTCTTTCTTTTCAAAGTGTTTGTATTCCATTGTGAGTTCCATGGATCAGGCATGGAGGCCAGAGGACAATCTTGGTGTTGGGTCTTCCTTTCCTTATGATTTTATGTGTATGGGTGCTTTGCCTGCATGTGTGCCTGTGTACCATGTGCATGTAGTGTCCATAGGGGCCAGAAGAGGATGTTGGAGCCTCTGGAACTGGAGTGACAGCTGCCAGTGGGTGCTGGGAACTAAACCTGAATCCTCAAGCAAGAGCAGCCAGTGCTGCTCAGTAGCTGCTGAGCCATCTCTGCAGCTCTTCGCTTGCTTTTTCGTATAAAACTGGACTGCAGCTTCTGCAGATAACAAGAGGACAAGGTAACCTAAAGCAGGTTAACTTCTGAAAATCCGGGACAGGGTACAGGCTCACCAGCAGGTGAGCAGGTGACATGGAGAACTGTGTCTTTCAGGGTTGGTGGTGAAGGGTGGTATGGACAACATGTGTAAAAATGAGGCTGCAATGTCATAAAGAAGGATTGAAGTATGCTGGCCTAGAAGGCTTTGTCATCAGAAGTGAGAGACTGTGGCAGGATAGTGGTTGTCTCCTGGGACTCTCTGCTTTTCCAAGTCAAGGAATATCTTTTACTTATAGAAACCAGCACCCACCCTGTTACAAATGAGGCACAATGGCCCACCCAGTGGCTGACATGACCAATGCAGCCAAAGGCGAAATCTCCGGGAAGTTAACGTAAGGTCTATAAACCATGGCAACTCAGTCCTAGAAGGGACACCTAGACAGCCCAGAGCTTGAGCACCTGAGCTTTCACTCAGGTGGTAAGAAGAGTGTACCTCATACCAGCAGAACCCAAAAATGTTCAATATGCTCTTCAGAGAAAAGGAGGTTCCAAGGGTTGGGGAAATGGCTAAGTGCTGACTATGTCTGCTTTAGCTTAGCTTTCGAGGACCCGAGTTTGAATCCCTAGGAACATGTAAAAAAATCCAGATGGGTGTGATGGCCCACCTATAATCCCAGTGCACAGGAGGTGGGGACAGCAAGGTGGCTAGGCTCAACCAGAGACCTTGGCTCAATACATAAAGGAAGACACCTAAAGTCAGTGCTGGTCCTCCTACATAGATATACCCACCCACACACCCACCCACACACCCCCGAGGGGTGACAGAGGGGCAGGGCATCCTTACCGGGACGGCACTGGGTAACACCTTAGGCTGGGCAAATACTTCAGGATCCTGGTTTTGCTGCATAGACTGAAATGTTTAATGGGAAAAAAGGATGATCAGATATAGCAAGTTTCGTTAGTTATTGGTGACAAATCTGTTATCAACAAGGAACATTCAGAGGCTGAGAGAAACTGGTTGTCAAGACAGACAACCACAATAAGTTTTGGACAGCAGTTCCCAAGGAGTCCCCCTGGGGAGAGGCGCAGGCCTTTCCTGAGACTCTAAGATGTGTGCTGGGGACTGAACTCAGGACTTGTGCAGACTCTACCAGTAAGCCCTCAGTCCTGGGCTTGTAGGTCTAGAGTTGAGGCTGGCCTCCAATTTACAATCCTCCTGCCTCTTTTTTTTTTTTTTTTTTCTTTTGAGACAGGGTTTCTCTGTGTAGCTTTGGAGCCTATCCTGGCACTTGCTCTGGAGACCAGGCTGGCCTCGAACTCAGAGATCCGCCTGCCTCTGCCTCCGAGTGCTGGGATTAAAGGCGTGCGCCACTAACACCTGGCTCTTCCTGCTTCTTAAGCAGCTGGGATTTTTTTTTGTTTTTGTTTTTGTAGACATGGTTTCTCTGTATATGGCTGTCCTGGAACTTGACTTGCAGACCAGACTGGCCTCGAACTCATAGAGATCTTCCTCTCTCTGTGGCAGCACCCACCGCCTGGCACATTTTTTTTTTTTTTTTTTTTATTTTGAGACTGAGTTTCACTGTGTGGTCCTGGCTGGCCTGGAACTTACTTTGTAGACCAGGCTAGCCTTTAACTCTGCCTGCCACTATCTCCCAAGTGTGGGGATTAAAAGTTTGTATCACCATGCCTGGCTTTGGAACATGCACCTCCTGTAAAAGCTGGGGACAGCTCAGGCTTATGCTTGCTGCTGAGTGTGTAGAGATCATATGATTAAAAAAATGTTTTCCCTTGCACACTTTCCCAGGCAAGTGACTCTACTACTATGTCCCCAGCCCAAATTTCTTCAAAGGTTGTTTGAACTTGGTTAGATAGCACTAAGCAGACTTCATCCTAAGTCACATTTTATTTTATTTTATTTATTTATTTAGGTTTTTCGAGACAGGGTTTCTCGGTGGCTTTGGAGGCCATCCTGGAACTCGCTCTTGTAGACAAGGCTGGCCTCCAACTCACAGAGATCTGTCTGCCTCTGCCTCCCCAGTGCTGGGATTAAAGGCGTGCGCCACCAACGCCTGGCCCTAAGTCACATTTTAAACACTGTTTTCTTGGAGAGAATTTCCTTTTGTTGTTTTCTTTTGAGACAAGGGTAGTTCAGGCTGGTGTCTAGCTTGAAATTCTTCTGCCTCAGCTTTCTTACTATAGGTGTGCATTATCAGAGCCTTTGGGAAAGAATTAGTGCTACACAGCAGACACAGGAGAGCTCAATGTAGACCAAGGTCGCCTGCCTGCCTGCCTTCCTTCCTTCCCCCAATTTCTCTCTCTACTTTTTTTTTTTTTTTTTTTTTTTTTTGTCACTGTTGTTCTTTGTGTGCG